CTTACACTGAAGGAGCCAGACAGAGGCAAAGTGGATAGAAGCATGGGCGTGAGCTGCTTTGACCCATGTTGGGGACGTGCTAGAGGGGTTGGGCCTCAGGAAGGCTGGGCATGAGCTGGAAGCCACAGACGCCGTCCCTGGGCTGTTTCCCTGCTCCTGAGGACCACGTGGCCCCTTAGCCTAGGGAGAGGGACTCTGACAGAAGGAATTCTTTCAGGCCTGACTGATGCTCTCTCAGCCAGAAAAGGATATAGAAGGATGTGGGGGTTGCTTTGTCCCTTTATCAGTCCCCGTCCTGTATGTGAGAGGGAGAGACACGTCAGCTCCTTTTTTATATTAAGTGTATGTAAGCCATTCTACCCACTCTTTTAAAACTACTTGTTCTGTTTTCCTTTAAAAAAAAAAATCCCATTAGAAAAAATTTGGATATTCCCCTTCTAAAGTGCACTTGATTGGCCACAGCCTGGGAGCTCACCTGGCTGGAGAAGCGGGGTCTAGGACGCCGGGCCTTGGAAGAATAACAGGTAAGCCTGCCCTGGAGCGGGGCCTTGAATTTGTTCACACATTTGTTTACACATGAAATCAAGTACCTGAGCACCAAATGAAGGACCAGAAGCAAATGTAAAATACAAGGAACTGTGACTCACCTAAACTAAAACAAGTGCTTTCAAAGCGTGAGGCCATAGATCCAAGTTCAAGGGTGTTCACCGCAGCATTAGCTGTGACGGCAAAGTAATGGAAACTGTGATTGGCCACCTGCTGGGGGTGGTTGAATGAATTATGACCTCAGGCCATGCTTTGCAGTTCCATTCCCACTAATACAAAGAATGAGCTAGAGCCCCACTGATGGTCCTGGAAGGTGCCAATCCGGGCCACAGCTCACCCAGTGTACACTGGCAATATGGAGCTGGTTTGTTTAAGGCCCGTGCCCGTGCCATTCCAGTTGCAGAAATGTTTAACATTATCCTGGATATACTGTGAAGTCTAAAAATAAGTTGCAGAGTTAAAGTATATACTATGAATTAGGCTTTTGAGGATGATAATTAATCATATCTCTTCCCTCCAGTCTGACTTCCACACCAATGGAGTCAGATGGATGGAGATCAAAATGTCAGCTCCTTGATTGACAAGCTGGGCTGGCCTCTCCTTCCTCTGCATGTCCCATGGACAGCCAGTCAGCAAGTCCCATGTGTCCCGCCTCTGCCTCGTGCCTCTCCGGGCCATGGCCCCTCTCCATCTCTTGCCTGGATTTTGGCCGCCCAGCCCAGTCTCCCACAAGGACTGCCAGTGTCATCAGCTTTCGAAACACAGGCTGGGTCACTCCACTGCTTGAAACTTTCCATTGCCTGAAACTTCTTAGCTTGTCATATAATCATTTCACGTTTCGTCATGCTTTTTCAGATTTCTATGCCTTTGCATGTGCTATTGCCCCTCGCCCTAAACACCTACTTACCCTTCAAGATTCATCTCAAATGTGTCTTCCTCAGACAGACTTCATTCTCTGCGCTTCCCATACCCTTGGAAATATAGCTCTATTATATTTGAAAATGCAAATATTGTATCACATGGTCTTGTAATTACCCATGCACCTGTTNTGCTACTAACTTCCTCTTCAAAATAGGGGGTGTTTTTTTGGTGTAGAAACAGGAATATAGTAGGCATTTAGGGAGCTCCAGCTATAGTTGGAATGAGCATCTGGATTCTTTTAGAGACATGAATGGACAACCGTTGTTGCACTTGGGTTCCATTACTTAGCAGAGAAGTGCTTCCTGGAAAGCCCAACTACAATCGACTTTATTACCTGTCTCAGTAAATCCCACACCTCATCTGGGCCTTTTCAGTAGAGAACACTATGATCAGATCACAACTTGAGAGCCCTGTAGTTTATTTAGCGCATGACATCAGAGAAAGACCATGTGAGTTTGAATCCCTGTTCAGGACTCATTTAGCTGTAGAACTTTCAGACAAGTGACTTGACCACTCATTGCGCCCCTTCCTGATTTGTAAAATTGGTAACTACCTCACTGTGTTGTCAGGGTTAAATGAGCTATTCTACAAAGTGTACTTAGAACAATTCCTGACACATACCAGATATGAGTGTTAGCCATGTTATAATTGCTATGGAAACCAACTTAGGATTCTCACAATCCTTTGCCTACAGCCCTGGAGATACTTAAACTAGCCAGTAAGTTGTGTCATTAGTTGCACATCACTATTAAGCAGCTACTAAGAGGCTCTTTGTTTGAATTTCATAAGTATCTAAACCATGTTGCTCTCTAATCATAGAATTCACTATTGTCAAATTTGCTATTTGCTGATTATTCATTTTTTCCTCAGTAGAATTACTTATACTTGTGCCTGTTAATCTTTCTTTTAATAAAAAGAATTACTTAAATTCATAGTATTCTAAAGTCTTTGGGAGTTTGGTTATGAAAACAACCCGAAAAATATGAAATACTAAAGGATATTTAACGTAATCACATAAAATTGTCTTTAATATGCTGTTGTCTTTCATGTGGTAAGATTCTAACCTCCATTTCTCACTCATAAATTGGGGTGGACAATCTGTTTTGCCACCCTTGTAGCATGTTTCTAAGTCTCAAATAAGACAAGTTTCATGAATTACTTTGACAACTGAGAGGTATTATACAAAAGTAAGACTTACCAAAATCCTGATTGAAACTGATCCAACATGGTTTTACAAGCATTGCTTTAAAACCAAACATTTTTATTTCCTTTCCTCATGATTAAATTTGTATACTGNGTTTTTCTCATGTCATTTGTCCTAGTATTTAAATATGAAGATAGCTCTGAATATGTTGTTTCATATGAGGTAAATTTGATATTTTGTTCAGTTAATATATTGAGAGCCTTCCACATGTAAGATTGATCAAGCAATGGTGCCTATTGTGTATTAAATTGAATAATCAAGTCAGTGTTTTAAGTGTATTATATTAGGGGAAATGGAGTGTATAAACAAATACCTTTATTGCAACACAAATTATGACCTGTGCTGTAAGATACAATAAAAGACTCTGGGAACGCAGTAAGGAGGGGCTGACCTTCCCCTTGGGGGTGGGGATGGAAACCAGGAAAGGTTTTGAGGAGGACACACATTCGAGGTGTGTCCTGAGGATGGGCCGGGTTTTCATAAGCAGAGACACAGGGAAATGGTATGGACAAACATTGTGTTAGACGGGCGACAGAGAGGAAGTTCTTGAATTAGAGTTAGTTAGAGAAGTAATTTAGAGACAAATCATATAACTCCTTCCTGTGGAGTTTGGATTTCACCCTGGGAGCCATGAGGCCCCACTGAGAGCTTTTAAAGAGGCCTTAGGACATTTTCTCTGGCTGAAATACCATCGTGCCTGGAGCTGGCAGAGCCTGGAGGCAACCGCCAGACCATCTAGTACTGTGCTGTCCAATACGGTAGCCGCTAGCTACATGTAGCTATTAAAATTAAATAAAATCTAAAATTTAGTTCTTCGGCTACTCCAACCCCATCTCAAGTGCTCAGCAGCCACCCAGGGCTAGTGGCTACCATCTTGGACAGCGCACATATCGAATGTCTCCATCATCACGGAAAGTTCTATTGGGCAGCACTGACTAGAACGCGATGGTGCAGCTGGCTCAGACGTAGGGAACTAGCCTGAACCAAAGTCATGAGAGTGGGTATGATAATGGAAGACGGATGTGACAAACGTCATTAACTGTCCTGAGATTTCACACATGAGTGACTGGAAGAATAATGACCCTCATGTCAGAAAAATTGCGGGCGAAAGAGAACGAGTTACATTTTGAACAGGTGAGGTTGGGGTAGGCTTTTGGAGCATTTCGTCTGATAGCTTGGCGGCAGTCCAGAGCTGGAGAAAGGGATTCAGAAGTCTTTTTACCCAGAGGTGGAAGTTGGAACCCAAAGAATGCATGCAGTCTCAGGGGCAGAGCAAAAAGCGTGAGACCAGGCCCAGTGGGACATCTGTATTTAGGCAGTAGGCTGGGAAGGGGGTCAGAGAAGGCGCGCTCCCCACTGCAGGATCATGTCCAGTCGTTACTGTGTCTGCAACTTCGAGGCTTGTGTCCCCTCAGAGTTGTGACATGCAGGGCAGGCCTTCCCAGTCAAGACAGCCTTCTGCGGTGCCTCACGCC